ACAAAACGATTTTTGTCCACTCTGGCGTTCAGAAAGGCGTGGCAAAGCCCCATTTTTTGAAAAATAGAGCTTGGTCTTTGTTGTGTCCATATTAGGTGTACAATGATTATTCTGGAACTTATAACAAAGAAAATGAAAGCTTATATAGAATACTTTCAGCTGAAAAAAGTCCTACATCGATATCTTCAGTAGAATGATTTCTACGCGGCAATAAACAAAGTGTTAATTTTTCACTACGAAACACCCTCTGGTCCCCTTAAGCTTAACTATACAACATTGACAAATTAAATAAGGTAAAGAAATTCTGTTTAACGAATGTAGAATTCAAAAAGTGCGATTAGTTCGGACGAATGATTTATACTGCCTGACCTCCACAACTAACCGATAACGCGCTATCACCCGAAACGCATACTCTCCCCTTCTCTCCTTAAGTAAGAAAGAAAGAAAAGTCATATAGTTAGATCGTAGTTTGGCATGCTGAGTAAGTATATCGATAAAGGAGAAGAGAGAAGAGAGAGAAAGAAATAATACGTGGCCACTAGGAGAGAGAAGAAAGCGCGACTATATTACAACCTTATACTTCCCCTTTACTATATAGGAAATACTTTCGTCTTTTGACGAAACAGTGCATTTTTGGGAATAACCGTATTTAATTATTTCCACGAACACTGCAATAGGCTCGTGCTCTAGCGCCGTGTCACTTATTTTTTTTTTTTATAAGGGGAAGGTGCGGGAGGCTCTTTCGCTCCACTGCAACAGTGACGACGGGCCTTGTAACGAAGTTGGTGTGATGGGTAATAGCTCGACAGAAAGAGAGTGATGGATACGCAAAGAAATCACTCTCAATAACCTTTGACTCTATTTATTACTAATTCATAAGTACAAAATCAAAGAGAGACGACGCGGATTAACTTGTCGTTTTCTATGGCCGCGTGCCTTCGCTCGTGCGGGAGGACGCACGGAGGCACGGTAAAACAATAAAAATTGAGAGGAATGAAAGGAGAACTCCACCGTTATTGCCGTGCTCGCGGATAATCGCGAGTACTTCGCTGACGTGTCGTACACTCGTGAATGAAAGGAGAGAGTGAAAGACGACCTGACCTAACAAAGGCTGCTGGTAGGAACCGTTGTTGAAGTGGCTGGCAGGTCGAAAATAGGCTGGAAAGGTGTCTCTCGGATGCTTTAGAAAGTAATCTAAGGTACATTGCCACTGTTTACCCAGCGTTGTCTCAGTCGCTGCTTGGCTCTGCTTTGGTGATTCACAAATCTGGTCTAGCTATATTTTAGCGCTCTTTCGGTCGTCACGGTCGAAATCTCGGCTTGACCTCTCTCTCTAACCGCGCACGTACCAGCTCGCCAGCGGCTTCACTCTCTTTCTCTCTCTCTCTCTCTCTCTCTCTCTCTCGAGCGGATCGCCGCGGTTCGCTCGCGCTCGCTTACTCGTCTTAAGCGACGCATCTACTCCTCTCTCTTCTCTCACCGCTGCCGCTCTCCCTTCCAATTGGCCCCCACTGACGATGCCCGGCACAGGTATTGCTCCTGAAAGAAAACGTTGCGAGCATCGTAAATGATTGTTGATTTCTATTACGTTCGTCATACAGTGAAGGAGCTAGTCGCGGGAGAGATAGCAAGCCAAACAGGGCCGGCCATTCCTGCCAAGTTCTCGTCACAAAGATCGTTTTAAGGTTATTACGAATCGGGAGGATCGGAACATTATTAATGCAGCCCTACGTGCCGCAACAAGTCCCAAAAATTAGGGAATGAAGCTCTTCCAGCCATATATTCAGTGCTCAGACGATAAGAAAGTGTCTTCGTGAATGAGGTGTAAGGTTACGAATTCGTGCCAGAGTATACACGTTGACAATCATGCATCGGCAAACTCGCCTACGCTACCTCCGTAATTAATCATCGAATCGGACATCCAGACAGCGGAGAAATCTATTGTTTACAGGCAAGCCTCAATTTCGTCTGTTTTGAAATACGTAATACTAGGAGTCGAATTTGGCGTCACAGACAAGAATAGGGTTTAGAGTCAGGAAATACTCTAGAAATAATGAGTCACAAAATCCCTAATTTATATTATGCTTTACATAATCGGCTCTCTACAGGGCCACTATATCCGTAAAGTCTGATTAGTAATCTTCTTGCGGTACGTATCGGGTAATGCTGATGCTGGCGGTATTCATTAAATGAACGACTAACTTCAAAAGGGCATAAATCGGTAAGAAAAAAAATTGGAAATATCGATTTTTCTTCGAAATTTCTTGTTAAAAGGTGCAATTTATGGTGATTTATTTTTTCGAAAAATAATCGGAAAATTCTAGGTAGAGCGCTATACAGTGCCGCTCACGCACTTTTACCCCCCCCCCCTCCCCCCCCCCCACGGGCAAAATCAGACTAACTTAAAAGTTTTATATCTCTGGTAGAAATTAACGTACAGAGACGCGCGTGGGTGCGTTTGAAAGGTCTTTCGGAGAGCTTTCAAATGATATGACTCACGGTTGCCATCGATTGTTTTTTTAAATTTTGCAACAATTATGCAAAATTGAAAATTCTGAAATTTTTTTATTATTTTTGACAATTAGCCAATTTTGGAAAAAAAATCGTACGAAAATTTGAAGTACACCATTTTTTAGCTATTACCAAGCCCTATCTGAATCACTCATCAAAAATTTATTTTCGTCAAATATGACGCGCGCACGGGCATTTTTTCCTGGAAGTGACAGTTTTTTTCAACATTTTTTATCTCCGTCAAATTGTAACAATCGAAAAAAATTTATAGGAGAAAAAATGTTTGTTTTTTCACGTAGAATACTGCAATAATTTTTTTTTTGGTTTTTCGAAAAATTTTTTTTTTCGGTTTAAATTATTTTTCAAGGTCGAAAAAAAAAAAGATTTTTTTTTTATGTAATTTACGATACTTGTTATGTAGTATTATTGAATGGGTGGAAAAAAATTTTTTTTTGTGGTTTCTCATCTTTTTAGCGTACCGACTGTGAGAAAAAAAAATTGAAAAAAACCGAAAAAAAAAATTTTTCAAAAAACCAAAAAAAAAATTATTGCAGTATTCTACGTGAAAAAACAAACATTTTTTCTCCTATAAATTTTTTTCGATTGTTACAATTTGACGGAGATAAAAAATGTTGAAAAAAACTGTCACTTCCAGGAAAAAATGCCCGTGCGCGCGTCATATTTGACGAAAATAAATTTTTGATGAGTGATTCAGATAGGGCTTGGTAATAGCTAAAAAATGGTGTACTTCAAATTTTCGTACGATTTTTTTTCCAAAATTGGCTAATTGTCAAAAATAATAAAAAAATTTCAGAATTTTCAATTTTGCATAATTGTTGCAAAATTTAAAAAAACAATCGATGGCAACCGTGAGTCATATCATTTGAAAGCTCTCCGAAAGACCTTTCAAACGCACTCACGCGCGTCTCTGTACGTTAATTTCTACCAGAGATATAAAACTTTGAAGGTAGACTGATTTTGCCCGTGGGGGGGGGGGGTAAAAGTGCGTGAGCGGCACTGTATGATCACACTTTTTAATAAAAAAAAAATGCTTGAGATTGAATAGAAATAGAGAAACGTCATCCAGTCGCATGAAATTGAATTAACTTTTTCCTTACAATAAATACAAGTCATGGCTCTTACGGAGCGCGAACTTTTCCTCACGTTTTACAAGTGTGCAGCAGTTTTGTAAAGAGCAGTTGCTGAGAAGAAAAGGACATATTGAGAGGACGCGCGTAAGGGATACGGCAGACACCCAACTCGATATCGACAACTTCCCCGCGAGACCGGGATAATAAGCGAGGCTAATCTGAGCGACGACATAGGTAAGATCTATTCTCGTAAGGTAAGCTGGCCAGCTTCACGTTAATAGATTCGCGCGTTCGAGACGAAATCACCGGCGATCTCACGTGATATCCCTAAACAAGAATAGGCGATCGCGAGCGTATTGCATTATAGCTGTAACGATTTAACGATTGAGAGCGACTCACGAACGGTAGTGAATAAGATGGCGGCGACCGTATATGCCACATGCGGTAAATCGCGGTAGCAGCGCAGGCCCGAAACTTATACTCGAATGTAGGAATAATGAAGGATGCCTTAGTGATAAATTCTGTATGTGATACGAGTATAATCATTGACTGACACATTAGTAGAATCCCTTTCCCTTGTCGGTACGTTCGTGATGACAAAAATTTCCAGCTAGCCGAATTTTATCCAAATATCTCCGAGCGAGGCTTAGCCTACCGAATAAAGTAACCGTGGCAAACAACGGGGACTTTACCCGGAGACGAGTATCTACGCCCGAGGTAAGGTAGCAGCGCTCGTAATTGCCCATGCGGGCAATACTTTAGAAAATTTCAAAGCGCCGCTAAAGTGTGCGCCAATGTGTGGCGCAACGGCAACGTTCGCGTAGCGCGCGCTCATTTGCGCACATACCCAAAGCAACCCATACCCGACGTAGCCACATTAAAATCATACCCCGTTACAGTACATAATTTATAGAAATAATTGTAGTAATCGTAGTAATAAATGGCAGGAAATTTGAATTTAAAAAAGAAAAGTTCCAAAATATTTTCTATATATAATAAGTTTTATCGACAATTTTTGTATGAATTAATTTATCTTTCAAATAAATTCCTAAATATGCTAAACTACCCTGCAAATAAAATTTTTAATATGATATTGGTTTGCCATAACAAACATAACGTAGGACCAGTGCTGCTGTATACTGAACGCTTGATGGATAGAAAGCATTCTAACACAACCTTTCGAAGCGTAATTCAAAAAGCTCATGGTTTAAAAAGTTTATCATGCTGGAGCTGATTTTTAGGGGTTGGGTTAAGTTAACAATAAAAGATGAAGTGGGTCAACTTGTGATGTAAAATTAATCATTAAAAATATAAACGATTAAACTCGCCGTTCCTATGATAATGGACTTTAATAAATTATAATTATAATGCAAAATTATTTCGAAAATGTAAGCTTACCGATAATCATATTTTTTCCCAATTAATTCATTATGTATATCCTGTAAATTAATATATGATCTATCATTTAAATTTTCCAGTTGTGTAAAACAGCTATGTAGAAAATTTACTGTTTTTCTGTTTTGAAATTTGGAATTCGTGTTTCTTCCGACTTCTTGAAAATCTAGTAATTTAAATGGTGTAAAATCTATAATATTGTTTTTATCGGCTTCTTGTCTGAAAAAACATGTACTTTCGTTTTCACCTTTCCTGTAACAAAAATATTGATTATTTCATTAAATTAAATATACATAATCGAATGTTACAGTGAGCTTGAATCGAATATAATATTACACGCACGCAGCAAAAAAACTATACTCATGTATGATATTACATTGTACGAGGTCTATCCGGAAAGTATCGGGCCTACCTTTATATTTTCGCGCTAGCGTTATTCTTCATCATCTGGTGGGTGGCATCCTTCAAAGTAATCCCCACTTGATGGAATAACACGGTTCCATCGATGTTTCCACTTTTCAAAACAGTCCTGGAACTCACTTTTAGGGATAGCCTTAAGTAAACTAGTCGCATTGTTTTCAACCGTTGTTTTGTCATCGAATCGGTGTCCTTTGAGTGGTTTTTTTAGTTTTGGAAACAGTCAAAAGTCACAAGGGGCTATGTCGGGACTGTATGGAGGTTGTCGAAGCAATGCGATATTGTGTTTGCTCAAAAACTGCTTCACAAGATTGGATGAATGCACTGGCGCATTATCGTGATGGAGAAGCCAGTCACCACTTTCCCAAAAGTGCGGCCGTTTTCTTCTTACTGCATCACGCAAACGTTTCAAAATTTGAAAGTAGTATTCTTTATTGATTGTCTGACCTGTTGGTGCATATTCGTGATGTATTATACCTTCACAATCGAAAAAAACAATCAATATTGACTTAACATTGCTCCGACTTTGACGTGCTTTTTTTGGTCTTGGTGATTCAGAATGCTTCCACTGTGAAGACTGTTGTTTTGTTTCAGGATCATAAATATAAACCCATGATTCATCACCTGTAATAACATTTCTAAGAACATTATCATCATTATTGACCATTTCCAGATTGTCCAGAGCGATTTCTAAGCGAATGTTCTTCTGCTCTGCTGTGAGCAATTTTGGGATGAATTTCGCGCACACTCGTTTAATTCCTAAATTTTCGGTTAAAATTTCTGATATGATAGTTTTTGGCATCCCAAGGTCTTCTTCTAGTTCTCGCACAGTCATACGACGATCTTGTTCGATTGCAAGTCGCACTTGCTTAATATTATCTGCGGTTTTTGTCGTAGAAGGTCGGCCGGAATGAGAATCACTATCGACAGAAGTGCGACTATCCTTGAACCGTTTATACCATTCTTTTATTCGTGTTTTGCTCATACACTCGCTTCCGAAGGCCTTTTGCATCATTTCAATAGTTTCCGAACTCGTTTTTCCAAGTCGAAAGCAAAATTTGCTGCAAATTCGTTGATCTTGTTTTTCAGTCATTTTTGACAATATCAAAATCCGACGAACGCGAAAAAGGCACTGTAAACAAAGACACGCTGCGCATGAACTATACGTCCGGCAGGTGTCAGTAAGTAACCAATAGATTCGTGAGGCTTTACTGTTGACGTTTCTGTCCGGTAGAGGTCGCTCGAACACTATGGCGCGAAGATATAAACGTAGGCCCGATACTTTCCGGACAGACCTCGTATAAGTTATAATATTTACCATGCAACCATATAAAAACTATAAATTTCTAATTATAATTCAAAATATTTTACATAATTTATTTATATTAATATTTTACAAAATCGTTTTATTTAATTTCTCAAAATTTAATATCTTAAAAACAGGGGCCTGACGAGTTGCTCGTCAGGCATCTGTATTCGAACTAAAGAGCCAGAAAGAGGATGGTCTTACACGTGAAGCATGCGTATCGTACTGAATTGGAAGCTTTCAGTAAGTGGCAAAAGTAGTAATTGAGATATAGATACCATAGAAGTATATAAGGAAAAAGTACTACACGGCAGTCGTTTGATACCTTTAGGTTTGCTTTTGTCTAGACTGTCGAAAAAATTTGATGAAAGTTTTCGACTCATTTTTTCTCATAGAATACAGATAATGTAGTCCCGAAATGGTAGCTCATCTTCTTTGCAAAATATTAACGACGATTGCCACTTTAGAATAAATTTAAATTTTTCATAATTTTAAATGGAATATTTTTTTAATATTTCTTTTTTAATATTGTTATATAGTACTGTAAGTTCTGAAAACTACGAAATATTCATAAACATTATTTCGAATAATATTGATAGAATATTATATGCCAATTAACATTAATCAGCATTTATAAAATAAAATACTTGTGTGTATAGGAATCTCTACTAGCTGTATTTTTGTTTACATTGTAACTTGCCGTTCCGCTGTGTATTAAGTCTATTGACTAAAATTAATCGCGTTGAATATCGATCCTACATAGCTTCAAATTCTACATAACTTAGAACACTAACGATGTTAGTGTTCTACTATCTACTGTTTACCTAAGATGTCTATAACAATATTTCAAAGAAATGTTTCATGAAATATTATTGATAAATCTTTCAGAAACATTACTGGAAACGTGGTTGGAAGCTTTTCCGAAATATTTCTCAAAAATTTCTGAAATGTTTCCTTCAAATATAACTTTTTACTTTTACGACATATTTCACGAAATATTTTCAAACCATTTTTTAAGTAAAGGCTTTTCAAGAATATTTCAGAAAATCTTTGAGAAGCATTATTAGAAATGTAACTGGAAGGTTTTGCAGAATATTTCTGAAAGATTATGAGAAATATTTCAATGAAATATTTCTGAAATGTTTCTTTGAAATATAACATTTTCATATTTTGAAATATTTCACGATATATTTTTAAAATATTTTTGAAGAATTTGAAGAATATTTCAGAAAATATTTTAAAAATATTTTTTGAAACTTGGCGGAAAGCTTTCTCGAAATTATACTAAATGTCTTCGAAAGATTTCTAAAAACGGTAATATTTTTTAAATATTTTTGTTTTTATTTCTAGTAATATTAATTAAATCAAGCATGATTTCGTGAAAGCCAAATTGAACTTAAAAAAATATTTCCGACAAGTTTCAGAAAGATTGTAGGAAAATGTTTCTATGAAAAGGATGATATTTTATTAATAATCATAGAAAGTTTACTTAAAATAGTTTTGTAATATTTTTGGAATATTTGTTACTAAGTCCAGTAACAAAGTGTAGAATATTAATAATATATTTTATTTTACTTAATCTTTCTTTTTTAATGTTGTAAATTTTTGATTGAAGCTTAAATGAAAGTTGGCCACTAATTATAGATGTTGTGTTATGATTAAAGTATCAGCGAGTTACTCCTTGCCTTCGGGGTTTTATTCTTGTTGTGAGCAAAATTATTCTGCGATAGTAAACGATCAATTTCATTAAATTAATTTAGTTCTACAAACAAACATGAAAAAATATAATAATATAATATTAACATAATTAATATAAAAAGATTTATATTTTTAAAAACTAACAATAAGGTTTCACGAAAAATTTCTATTAAATTGTACAAAACATTATTAGAAATATTTTGTGAATGTTACGTCCCAAGTTAAGGTAGACACAAGAGGCTAAAGTGTTATTAAGCGATCACTTTTGTGAGAAAGCTCATTTTAAAGTTTTTCACGCAAGAACACTTAACTGCGCAGATTTGTTGTTCTCTGCGATGGCGAAAAGACACATTTATGTCTGCGATTCGAAGCTGCCTTTTGCAAAATTGTCAAACCAGCATAATAGCGCTCGATGTATACTTTATGAGTAGAGAGCCGCGAGACTGAGAGAGAGAAGTCTTTCCCTTTCTCCTAGTCTCTCTCCATTTCTCGTCCCTCGCCGTCCTGCGGTTCCCACCTCATCACTCTCTCTTATTTTTGAACATACATTTTCTTTCTTGCCTCCACAAGAGTCCACACATAATTTCGCTTTCGCGGTTGATTTTACAGCGTGGAGAGCGAAGTAATTAGCTGGTTGGTCGGTGACGTTCATTGTCACGTCATTGAACGACTTACCCCACCTTTTCTTTTCACGATTGGGTAGTGAGGGTGTTCGAAAGTTTTTCGGGAGAGAGTTCCCTTTTTGAGAATAACGTGCAAAAAAGGTAGCTAGAGACAAGATAATGGAGAGAGCAAACGCGTTCTAAGTCACTAGAGAAAAGTTTTATTATCATGAAAGAAGTGAATAAATTTGTTCTCAGAAATGGTTTCTAGCGATTAATTTCAAACTCTAAACTCTTCGCCAATCCCTCTCAACTTGTATGGTGTGCGTGGTCGTGAATGGTGCTTCAAGTGCGCTTTATACTCGATCAATTAAATGAAAAAGTGATTGGAGAAGAAACTCCCGTCATCCGAGGATAGGAAAACTGGACATAACAAATCTTTCTGTAATGGTGTTTTAGTTATTGTGTTTTGTTATTACATGCTTTAATATTTCATGCTCTGTGGATTCGATTTGTTCGTTTTTAATAGTAAAAATCAAACAAATCAATCGTTAATTAAACTTTAAACTTTATTTATCAATTCTATTATTTTTAAGCAGAACCTAGTGCAGAGACTAGAGGATATAGAATCGACAATTATCTAAAAAACTTGGAAATAACTTTTGAATTTCTTAAATTACAAAGGATGATATGTTTTGTAAGATTATTTTCCCAGATTTGGAATATTTTTAAAGTTAATAAAAAATTGTCTGAATTTTTAATATTGAATTATTCCTTGCATAAAATTAAAAAACAATCGATTGCATCTATGAGTCATACCATTTGAAAACTGTTTGAAAGATTTTTCAAACACGTCCTCGGGCAATTCTACGTCAATTTTTACCAGAGACATTGAACTGTAGGTACCGGCAGTGTACACTTAAACACATAATGGAGTAGCTGATACAAATAATGAACACGTGAATACGAGGTCTGTCCGGAAAGTATCGGGCCTACCTTTATATTTTCGCGCTAGCGTTATTCTTCATCATCTGGTGGGTGGCATCCTTCAAAGTAATCCCCACTTGATGGAATAACACGGTTCCATCGATGTTTCCACTTTTCAAAACAGTCCTGGAACTCACTTTTAGGGATAGCCTTAAGTAAACTAGTCGCATTGTTTTCAACCGTTGTTTTGTCATCGAATCGGTGTCCTTTGAGTGGTTTTTTTAGTTTTGGAAACAGTCAAA